ATATATATATATATATGCAAATGTATAGGTTTGCTCGCTTCACTCGCATTACTCACCTGAATACAGAATTCCAATAGTCTTTAACATAATTTACTTGATGTAATTCAATATCTAATTTCTGGCAGGTGTATTCAGCGTCTAGGAGATCTTGTTCGCCAGAGCAGCGGCCCGTCTCATCGTATTCATCCCAATTTTTCATAAATATACCCAAGACTTTGAAGCCTAACGAACAAAAAAAAAAAAAAGTTAAATATTAATTTTAAGTGTTTCATTAAAGATCATTGTCACCTTTTTCCTTGAGCAAATATGCACTAACCGCGCTATCTACGCCTCCTGATATTCCCACAACGACGTTTCGAAACATTATCAAGTAATTGAATTAATTTTTCAATTTTCATATAAATCGTGCTTGCGGCTTAAGTCGAACGTTATGATACCCTTGATTTTATATCAAACATCAGTTATAATTGTATAATATATGATAACTTATAAGACACAGCGTTTATACTTCGATTTGCTGCCAAAACACCTATTAGGCTATTCTTACAATGTATCAAATCGTACACACACACATATATATATATATATATATATATATATATATATATATATATATATAACTAATAAAGCCTGGACGAGGAGTAACCTAAGATTATGAATATGAACGTCAAGCCATCGGTAAGGTGATATTGCACAAAACTATTTGACCCAAAATGTGAATTCCGGGTAAATGATGTAACGTAAAATGATGGGAAGTTAACACATATTTAAAATAAGCCAAATGTACAGTTCATGTATTAATATAAAAGGAAGATTGTTAGTCAAGAAGAGAGGTATTGTCACTATTTTAAGAATCGATTTAACAATTGGAAGAAATTGAAAGTGAATGTAAAAATTGTTGCGAAGACAAGTAAGTTCGCATACATGATCTTTCGAAAGAAAGATCCACTATTTAGTTTTCTATCCGTTTAGCAGCTACACGATGCAAAACTTCTTATTACTTAAAGTATTCTCCGTGGTAGTGTCATAAATAAGCACAACAATGAAATCAGCTGATCGTCGAGAAGATGCAGCTGAGAATTGATAGGGTTTTCTTGTCATGTATATAAATTTTTATAATATTATTATTATTATTATTTTTGTAATTTTAGACTAATGAATTGAATTCTTAGACTAAAAAAAAGACATTATAATAATTTATAATAATACTATGTATGTATGTACGTAAGCGATATAGTTTGCTTTTTTTAATTTATTTAAACATCAAACACAAAGTAGTGTTAAGTTTTGAAAAATAACTGCAAGCAGACTCGATTTCATTCATAGGCATTATATGTTTATGTTCAGCATTGAGTTGAGTGGATTTCAAAACATTTCATTATATTGCGAGTTTTTTCTTAATTAAATATATGAAATATACTTTATAATAAAAAAATAAGTTAAACAAAGCACGAACAAGACGATCGCTTCGATGTCTTTTCAAAGGCAAAAAAAAAAAAAAAAAACAAAAGAGAACATTTTTATATATCATGAAATCAACAAATCAAAACCCTACCACCGTTTTTCTCTTTAGAATTGTTCATTTATTTATCATAATTTTTATATTATATTATTATTATATTATTATTATGATTATTGTTTAATTAATCTATAAAAACTTTTCTCTCGATTAGATAAAAAAAATGCGCATTTTTTAAATTTCACTTTTGCATTTCTTCGTCTGGTTTATGATTCTTGGTCAATGATAACATTTGCAAATAGTTGATATATCTGACAAATTAAATATTATTTTAAACTGTCCTACTTTTACAGCAACAAAATACAGATGGTACCTTACTTTTGAAGTGTAAACAATAGCACGTGCATAATAAATTTGCAACAATAACCACAAAAGATGCTAAGCTTAACAGCAACAATCACACACGATACGAACTTTACAGCAACAATTATATATGATGGTAGTAGCTTTACAGCAACAACCACAAACACAGTACGAACTTTATAGCAATTAAATACATATGCATGTCGAAAGCGTAGAAAGAGAAAAATTTCTCTCTCTTTCTTTCTATCTTTCTTTTTAGAGTTTGAAAGAGAAATCGTTAGCTCGTTATTGTCAATTGCCAAAATTGAAATATAAATGAGCAAATTTGTGTATTTTTTCTCTTCTCTCGGAAAGTGAAAACATCTCTCATTAGCAGGACACATAGCAAAGGCATCTGCAAAGCAAGCAAAGCAAATTCAAAATGAAAAACTATTTAAATAATCCAACACATGTATACATTTATTATATATATTTCTAAAAGAATTTACAATAAATTTTAAAAATATCAAGATAAAATAATAAAAAAGCATAAAATAATTAAATAAGTATATAAAGTATATAAATAAATGATTTTGTATTTGCTTAATTTTCAAATTTTTCATGTTTAAAGTTAATCATAATCACAATTTATTTCAGTTTTAAGTTTAATAATAATTTGCTGAGAAAAGTCTTGCCCTATGTCCGTCCCTGCTGAGGACATAAAAACATCATGCATCATGTATAACGAAATTGAAGCTTGAAAAGGACTTATGAATGGACTATCTATACTTTACCCGAATTCACATTTTCTTCTCTTTGCAAAAATACTCTTTCAACAAATTGTGCAAAGTATCCTTTGGCTTTTTTTATGCTCTTATGCTCTTATAGATTGGATATAACGACCGGGTATATAAGACGCGGCTACGATTACAGTTGAAAATAGTGAAAATAGTTGAAGATTAAATGGCAATACTTGTGCTCTGCGATGTATAACGGGTAAAAACGGTTGAATGCATTATAAATAATATGCATACAAATGTGAAAATATGTAAAATTAATTTTATAAAAAAAAAATTTTATTAAATCCGAAATTTGTGAACAAAAATATATATATATATATAAATAAAGCAAAATAAACTAAAATTGCAAATCAATAACAAATATGAATGTTTAAGCTTTTAATTAAAACAAAAAGAAAAAAAAAAAAAAAAAAAGAAATTCTACATTTTTGTATACTAATATATTTACATTGAAAAACATAAACAACATCAAGTTTACGAGATTTCTTCCGATTTTATCGATTATAACTGTTTAACCGTTTGTTATTGTTTTATATGAATAAATAAGACCAAATTCCCTTTCATACAATATGATGAATGAACGAACAGTCTTTGTTATTTATGTGACATACATCCCAGTTGTATTTTGTTTGTACTGATTGATTAAAACGAACTTTCTGCCTGTCAAATGCAGCAGCAGGCATTTTAATGAAACATAGGTAAAGTGAATTGCAATTTAATGTTAAAGAGAAGAAGAATAATTTTACAAAAAAACGAATAACGGTATAAGCATAAAGCATATACGCTAAAGTAAGTAATTATAAATATATTTTTATAATAATAGGCGATTGAGTAGGCGCCTAACCCGCCCCGGAGGGGGAAATTTTCATTTTTACATTATTATTAAAGCGTATTATTAAAGCTTAAAATTGTATAGTAAAAGTGACCGCGACTTGTAAACTCACTTTCTCTCTCTCTCTCTCTCTCTCTCTCTCTCTCTCTCTCTTTCTATTTCTCTCTCGATACTCTATATTCATTTTAAGTCTTTCTTCGTGAATGGACGGAGGAGTTCATTACTAACAACAGCAATCATATTAAATAGTATAGTATAGATATTTTTAAAGTAGAGATTATGAAATTTTGCCAAAAATTGATTTTCAAAAATCGATCCATACACGATATATACGAATATACGGCCCATCTGAACGTTGTTTATAAAATCCTGTTAATTGAATTTGGAAAGGAATGATCGAAATCAGGAATGAAATCGCAATAAACTAATGTTTCAAATTTCGATACTTGTTTATACATAATCCTTGCTCTGTAATAAACATTCATTGATTTGTCAATAATGCATTTTTGAGAGCAAAAAGAATTTCATTTAATTGGAAAATTTGCTACCTTAAATAAGCAAGTGATCAAAATTTTTCGACCTATGAAATTGCTTGGTAAGCAGGACGCATTATGCATTAACGTATAGGAGTAGAAGTATGCAAAGAGTTTATTAAAGAACCCAAACCGATCAAAGGATACGACCTATGCAGCAAGAATCGCGAACACCTCTACTTTCTATGATTTTTGCTTTTGCTACCCATGCATCACATATATATAAGTTTGCACTTTTATTCGAAAAAGAGAAAAAACCAATCGCGTCTGTCCATCCATTCATTTATCAACTATATAGAGTATGAAAGTCTTTTCTTAGGATAATGATAATAGATTTATATAAGATGCGGTCGCAGTCAATTTGTTTTTTTCGCTCTTTTAAAAATTAAATTTGACTGATATTACGAGTGAAAATATATTTGAAGAATATTTTAATTTTATTTCTTTACCCATTGCTTTCCTTATGCATATTGGCAAAGAAAAGCTAAAGGAATTTCATAAATATTAATGCATTTGATATTTAGCAAAGGGAATTTCATAGCAGGAAGTTACGGAAAAGCAAATGAAAACTTTCTCCTCTTTTTGTTAGACGCGTTTGAAAGGATGATATTTAAATGGACGCAGGGATACACACATGCATATATATACATATATATATATACATCTTTGATTTAAAAAGTGCAGCATAGGGAAGTCGATATCTTCAGTTGTTATATATTAGTTTTTAATGATATAGTGCAGCAAATGCATATATATATATATATGTCTGATCTGTTTTACTGGTACAAGTCTACTTTTGCCTATATTAATTGTTTTTGTGAAAACCCATCTAAGCACATTTTGGAATAACCTTTTTTTTTGTTCATTGGCTCAAATGATCCCTGAATTATTCAAGAGATGATGATCACGGTTGTATTGCAAGTTTACAGGCGCCTGGGTAAAGGGTAAAAACCTTTGAAACTCATTTTAGCTTTGAGTTTAAATTTTTTGCTTATGTCTCTCTCATATTATGTTTGTAAAACGTTTAAAAATTTGAAAATTTCAATTTAGTTGTGATTTCAAAATAAATCATCAAATCTCATGTAGAGTCCGATATGTTGGACAAAAAAATGCCCAATCGAGAACAAACTTTAAGACAGAGATGAGTTGAGAAAGTACGCATATCACTTCGGGAGAATAATCGTTGTATCATATTTAATTAATTCCTTGTGAGCTGTAAAGTGAACCATAGTTTATACAGAGCTGGCGTCAATGAATACATTATTCCTTGTCTGTTCAAGGTTTTCTTGCTTTATTTTTTTATATAATTTGAAATTAGCCAAGTAAGAAAATTTTATTCGGGCCGAAACTCGCCTGTTGACCGCCATTAAAATCTCTGTCGCCCCACGATTTTATTTATTTGTATAAGAAAGTCAATGGGATAAACTTCATTGTTCACCTTTTACTTCATTCAATTTATTGTAATAACAGAATTAATCCACAACGTCGTCACGCCCATTATAATTAATTTAGATATAACGCACTCACCTGGTCGCCTTCTACACAC